TTTAGTCTTCAAACTCCCACTGCCCCTTGTGAAGTGATAATTGCTAAAGCCAGTTTTTCTAAAGGCTATTTAAAACTTAAAAGTTTGACATCAAGTTGTGTGGAGCAGTAAACGCCACCTGGAATATTTGGGTTAAAGGCAGATTGGTTGCTGCAGCTGGGTGTTTCCTTCCTAAAAAGCCCCAGAAAATACTCTGTGAGCGTGTGGAAGACAAGTGTTCAAACTCGCAGAAGTTATGGTAGAGGGCTGGGACTAGAGGACTAAGGAAACAAAGAACAACTTCCTCATTTTAGTTGTAGTAGTATCAAGACTTGAAAATATCTTCTTCCTGCAAAACTGGTCAAATACTTTCCCCGTGAGGAAAATAACCCCATCTCACCTGTGTCATATATATCCCTATTTTGTTCCAGAACTCAGGGCCTGCCTGCATGTTTAAAAGATGATGGCAGAAAAACTGCATCCCCCTCCTGGGGACGGAGGGTTCATGTTTGGCACAACCTTCCGGGCTTCCAAGACAGTGTTTAAAAACAAAGCCCAGATAGCACGAAACATTGCAAAGATGCAAAGAAAAGGCTTTGTGCTAAATCTAGGGATGAGATTCTGTGTCGGCAAGTAAAAATAAAGTTGCAGGAGGAACGTGTTTTTCACTTGCCCCAAGACGATATTTTTTGATTCCTGTGCAGCCGGTGAGTTAGTGCTCTGCCGAAAGTCTTTGTTGGGGGATAAATGTGTGAAAGCTGCTGGGAAACAGCTCGTTTCTGTTTGATGTATATAATTCATACAGCAAGAGGATTTTGCTGGCGGTGTTTCTGGTAGAGGAACAAGTAAGAGTGATAGCTGAAGCGACTCGGGGATTACTGGACAACATCGTGTTTGTGTCCGTAGCGCAGACTGGTCCATGTCAGCAGCGACCTTAGGCTGCTGGTGGGCTGTTGAGGGACCAGAGCAGCATGCTGGGTCCCAAACTGGTCAAGCTACAGACCCTACTGTAGAAGAACAAAACATGGGTGCTCTTCAGTGTAAGGACTGGGTACCAAGAGGACCATGATAGATCATTTGCACCAGCTTCTGATTCAAAAAGCTTTCACTGTTTGGGTCTTTTGTTTTTCCTGGGGGCAGGGAAGGGGCTGAGGTAGTTCTCTAGGCTTTGTGTTTTACAGCAGATCTTGTGTGAGACATCAATCTGGCATGGTCTGTTTAGAAATACTGTGGGAGGGTTTTAGACCACCTCTTGCTCAGGACAGAACTGCATAGGTATAAATTTCAGACCTTGGTGTCCTTGAATATCGAACCTGTGGCTGTGCTGATCGTGTCTGCAGAGTGCCTTTATTTATTCTCCTTTGCTGCATAGATTCATTTACATTCAGTAAAATATCATGTTGCGGTGACACTTTGCCTGACTGTAACAAATGCAAGTAGTGTTTTTTTTCCCCCAATTTTTAAGATGCTGATTTGAAAGGATGGTCGCTCAGAAGCAGTT